AAGTTACAGCGGGATACAAATAACACCAGGCTGATACTGCCACGATTTGTTCCCCCCCATCTAAATCACGGACAAACAGCATCCCACAGTTGTTTATGTTTTTAAACCCATTTGGCACAGAGGCATTTTTTTTGGAAAAATTTATTGATAGCAATGTTGAATATTACATAGGAAAAAAACAACTACATGTAAAATAATTACACCGTGACGCCTCTGCCTTTCTAAATGGAGGGACAGTAACTGCGTGTTTATATGTAAGCATGTAAAACCTGAAGATGGAGACAAAATACTGTTAATCTGAATAGCTGCCATTCTGCAATTCCTCTCATGTAAACAATAACATTGCCCACAGCCTGACATGAATAAAGGCACATGCCTTTAATGTTGCATGACGAACTCTGTATTCCTCGTCCACACATAAACACAAAAGATGAGTTTTAAAAAAAAAAAATCTCAGTTTTCGGTGATTTGAAACACCATTTACGTGTGGACGAAACAGCTGCGTTTTCAAAAATACCAGTGTAGGCGTGGACGTAGTGTAAAAGAGTTAGTAGTTTATTTTCTTACTACCAAGGCTATTATTGCTAACGAAAACTAACGAAATAATGAAAACTAGAAGTGAAAAAACATTTTCGTTAATGTAAATAAAAATAAAAACAAAAAAAGGAAAACTAACTAAAACTGTAATGAGTGTTCACAAAACTAATTAAAATTAACTGCATTTATAGCAAAACTGTATTTAGTTTTCATTGATGTGTGCGTGTCATACAATAGTCAAGGGTGAAAATGAAGTTTAGTTTCCAGATTTTTTTTGCTGTCTCATTATGCCAGCAGGTGGCAGTACGTTAGTCGAGTCGTCTGTGTTGCTGCTCCGTCCACGCGCAGAATCATGTCAGGAGAAAGCACCAGATTCCAATTTGGGATTACTTTGAATATGACTGTTTTGGATAAAGCAAGTGTCTTGTAGTGGAAAGAGACAAATTATGAGGGACATTTCTAAAGGGGAAAAAATTCCCACAAACCTTAAAGTGCACTTGAAAAGCTCACACAAGAAGGCTAACCTAGCTTACCTTGAGAATGTAAGGGAGCACACTCAACCCTCATCCCCAGAAAACAGAAGCTAACCCCAGGCAAGGCAGCGTGATGCATCCCGATGGTAGCTGGAATCGCAACATACTCAAGGATAAGCAGAAGAGAATGACTGATATGATGAAACTGGGATTTTGTTACACTTAATTATTGCAAACACAACTAAAACTATAACTGAAACTAATCAAAACTAAACTGAAAATAAGGATTTTCAACAAAATAAAAACTAAACTAGCAAACAATTGGTAAAAACTAATTAAAACTGATAAAATTGAAAATCTGAAGTCAAAACTAAATATAAAATAAAAACTAATGAAAATTGCAAAACTATTAAAACCCTGCTTACTACCTGCAGATTACTTGTATTTGCTCAATTGTTTACTAAATGTTTGAGGTGTGAAATAAACCGCAATTGAGCAAAATATGGGTGTGTGTGGTTGGAGGATGTGTTAGTGCGTGCGTGCGTGTGAGAGTGCGCGAGCAAGGGGGAGGGGGCGAAGAACACTTTTCCTTAAAACAAAGGGGGGCCCAGCAAAAAAAGTTTGGGAACCACTGCCATAGAGGATGCCAGGGTTGAAATCATGGATAAGATGTTTCAGAAAAAAGACAAGATAAAATCTAACCCACTCTAGCATTAATACTTGCATCAGCTTTAGGAAAACTACACCAGGAGGACTGGGTGGCGAGGTGAGGTTGATCCCCTCCATTAGAGTAATGAATTGTCCATAGGAATCCAAAGGACCACCAAGCAGTGTGGTAAAATTGAGGATGTAGTTGATTAGAGGGAGAAGCGTGACACAAGTCTGCCTTTTGGATGGTGTCAGTACGACTCGTTTCTCCTGAAGGTCCAAAGACACAGAGGTGATTCTCTGGGTGAGCAGCATCAAAGTGGACACTGCCAAGAACAGTCTGAAAGTGAAAGAGATATTGCTGTGATTAAATAGGATATCTGTATACATATAATGTTTTTACTTTAGATGTAAAAACATTATGTCTAACTTAGGCTAAGAGTTCATCTATAATGGTGAAGAAATGGCCTCTGACATTCATATCAGAGTCTTTTTAGTACATTAGCTGTTCTAGAGCTGTGATCACACAAAGTTGATTCTTGGAAACGGCATCTGAAAGGTTAGGCAACAACATAACAATTCTTGGAAACGAAACAAAGTCAACAGGCTGCTAAAACCACGTGATGTGGTTGAATGCTTCAAGCAACAGATTGTTTTATTGAAAAACACATGGTCGTTTTGAGTTTGACATATTTCATAAAAGTGTGATTAGGAACATTTTTGCCACTGTGTTTACAACCCTGTACGCGTTTGAAAACTGAAGGGACTGTGCTGTGTTCTAATCCTATCAAAGATCAGAACATAGCTTATATAACTGAGCAAGATAAATTGCTCAGGAGTTTCGCCTCGTCTCCCAACCGTTGTGGCAGACATCTGTCCCTCCCTGGAGGCTTCTTCCTGTTAAAAGGGAGGGTTACCTTCCCACCATCACCAAGTGCTTTGCCCATAGGGTATCATCTGATTGTTGTGGTTTTCTCTCTAATACTGTAGGGTCATTGCCTTACAACTTAAAGACCTCACTTTTGTGATTTGGTACTAAATTCAAATGACGATTTTATGTTCTACATTGTTATATTTCTAATTTCATGATGCAAATGCAAATTTCTTATGTAAATATGATCTTTCTTAAAAAAGCCGTTGTCTCTGTTGTTCTAAACCTAGTAGATACTATTAAGCATTAGTGATACCTTTGAAGGTAATCGATGCCTGGATACCATCACGGATACTTGATTTTGAAATATGTGCTAAGCATGAACTGCACCTTCTTAAAGTATCCAAAAATGTACTGCTCTGGTCACAGGTCCTCATTCTTTTTAAAGGTGCCAACTTTCTGTAACTTGTTATAGAAGAGAGAGGGGTTTTAAATATTTTTTTAAAATAAATACCATAGAGATACCATACAAATCACTGCATGCTGCATTATTTATATTTTATACAACATCCTAACTCTGAACAGGCTTGATTCATACATCTGTACACCCTAGAGAATATTCACTTACGAAAGGTTCGGAGGATATAGCATGAAAACTGTCCCATATGTTTATGTAATTTGTAATGGCAGAGTGAAATCAAGATTAATACCTGATGATGACTGGTTCGTGCAGGTAGTATTCCCTGTTAGGGCTGCCACAAACGATTATTTTGATAGTCGACTAGTCAAAGATTATTTTTGCAATTAGTCGACTAATCAGATCATGCGTCCACTGGACGTAAAAGTACATCTTATTGCACCAGCAGCATCTGCTCTTATACAACTACCATTAGCTTACAGCTTTAAGTGTTTAAGGTCTGTGCCAACTAAAAATAAAGACAAGATGGTAGTTTATTAAATTTTAATGAAATTTGCAGATTGTTTTGGTGAAGTTTAATAAACTCCTTGCTATCTAAAATATAACAGGACACTGGAGTATATTCTCGAGAATCTCACACTTCTGATAATCAGCTGTCTGCTTGACGTTTATTCAGCTATGTAAAAACTATAACTTTAATCTCACCCAAACTGATTTACTCAGGAACAAATAAAATACTAAAAAAAGCTAAACAATAACATTGTTAAGTTATCTAAGTGACTTATATATGTTTAACCTGAGTAGCGAAAGACAGCGGTGGGTCTCAGGGCACTAGTGAGCCTAGCCCCCGGCTCGCTATCGAGCTAGTGGGTAACAGACGTCTCCGAAAACGTCGGAGCGCTTTTGAAAATATGTGGTGTCTTGATAAACTGAGCAGATATTTGAGGTTTACACAGCTACATTCTCGCCTGAACATATGTTAAACCTTTATTTTGTGACCCAGAAAGAATAATAAGAGTAATATTAAAACTAACTAGCTGCCGCCGTTTGAGCTGGGCTGCGCTATGAATTCTGGGACACTGCTTCTTCTTCTTCTTCGGGGTTTAACGGCAGCTGGCATCCTTGTACATGCAGTGCTGCCACCTTCTGTATCAGTCCGTTATTACACTCTTAAATCCTACTACTTATTCCTGCGTCTTTTGTGATCTTACAAAGCTTCAAACGACGCGTCGACTATTAAATCAGTCGTCGATGATTTTGATAGTCGACGTAATCGTGACTAGTCGACTAATCGTGGCAGCCCTATTCCCTGTACTGTATAAGTAGGTGCCAGAAGGTTTGCCACAACATCTGCATAACAAATGCCCAGGTGTGGATACAGCTGTGATCTACACAGCACACGAGTAGAACAAAGGCAAGTGTGGAGGTGAACAGCTTGTGCTGTTATCCTGTTTGGTTTTCTCCAAACGTGATGCTTTGCAGTATCGCTAGACATCGCTATTGAAGCCTTTAGAGTCTCAGATGTAGCTCTTCTACATATATGTCTTTGGTTTGTCTGAGCATCTTCACCTTGTGCATTGTTTTATCACACATGTGAATCAGATCAATGAACTGCCAGACAATTTGTTTTTACAGAGGTCACCATACTTGCTGATGATTGTAGCATCTGGCTGTTACTTACCTTCTTACATCCTATAGACGCAAAGATTTAGTTTTTCCACACTGCTTCTGCATTTTGCTTACAAAAATGCACAAAAACTAATATTTCAATTCACTCATAATTTCTTTTTACCTTCAGGCTCTTGCAGACAATCATCATCCTTCATCCCGTCATGGTCACCAGGCGCCTGATCTTGGTGTCGTTCCTCGTCTTCTGTGAGCATCTCAGATTCTTGGTTTTGCTTCTGCTCGAGAGGACCGTTCTCTTCTTCCTCCTTGAAGCATTCAGGAGAGTGCACTTCCTTCTTCAGACATTCTTTCTCAAGTACTGGTATTTCTGTGCAAGGTTTAGGTTCCTGTTCACTGCTTTGCTGAGTGTGCACTTCTTCCTGCTTTAATTTTGTAAACGAGACACCTAAAATATCACCGGTGATCATCTTAAGTTGTGCACAAGTGGGCGGGAGGGTTAACATATGTCTTTCAATTTTTAAACTCTCCTCTGTCCTCGTGTTATTTACATGTGCAATATTTAGCTTTGTTAAGGCTGAATTTGCCTCTATACCAACTTGATTCTTTGGATTCTGGAACAAAGGGAAGTTGCTCTCTTCAGCTAATGGGATATCACTTGCCTCAGTGCCCTTCTCCATCTTGACCGTTTTACCCTCATCTGCCTTGTTATGCATCTTGCTGTCATCATTGGCCAACTGTAAGATATGACGCAGTATGTCATCTTCTACCTTTGCCTCAATGTTCAGTGTTTTATGCTCAAGTGCTTTAACGTCTTGCTTTTGAGCTGGTGTTTCTTCATCCACTTTGAAATCATTTTCTGTCTCCATTTGTTGTTTGTCTCCAGATTCTGTGAATTCAGGTTGGGCTTGGTTTTCATTTGTCTGCCTCTCTTCCTCTGGATCGCCATAATCCTCACATGGGGTATCTGTAATTTTCACTTCTGTTACACTTTGTTCCACATTTCCTGTCTCCATTTGTTGTTTGTCTCCAGATTCTGTGAATTCAGGTTGGGCTTGGTTTTCATTTGTCTGCCTCTCTTCCTCTGGATTGCCGTAATCCTCACATGGGGTATCTGTAATTTTCACTTCTGTTACACTTTGTTCCACATTTCCTGTCTCCATTTGTTGTTTGTCTCCAGATTCTGTGAATTCAGGTTGGGCTTGGTTTTCATATGTCTGTCTCTCTTCCTCTGGATCGCCGTAATCCTCACATGGGGTATCTGTAATTTTCACTTCTGTTACACTTTGTTCCACATTTCCTGTCTCCATTTGTTGTTTGTCTCCAGATTCTGTGAATTCAGGTTGGGCTTGGTTTGCATTTGTCTGTCTCTCTTCCTCTGGATCGCCGTAATCCTCACATGGGGTATCTGTAGATTTCACTTCTGTTACACTTTGTTCCACATTTCCTGTCTCCATTTGTTGTTTGTCTCCAGATTCTGTGAATTCAGGTTGGGCTTGGTTTTCATTTGTCTGCCTCTCTTCCTCTGGATCGCCGTAATCCTCACATGGGGTATCTGTAATTTTCACTTCTGTTACACTTTGTTCCACATTTCCTGTCTCCATTTGTTGTTCGTCTCCAGATTCTGTGAATTCAGGTTGGGCTTGGTTTTCATTTGTCTGCCTCTCTTCCTCTGGATCGCCGTAATCCTCACATGGGGTATCTGTAATTTTCACTTCTGTTACACTTTGTTCCACATTTCCTGTCTCCATTTGTTGTTTGTCTCCAGATTCTGTGAATTCAGGTTGGGCTTGGTTTTCATTTGTCTGCCTCTCTTCCTCTGGATCGCCGTAATCCTCACATGGGGTATCTGTAATTTTCACTTCTGTTACACTTTGTTCCACATTTCCTGTCTCCATTTGTTGTTCGTCTCCAGATTCTGTGAATTCAGGTTGGGCTTGGTTTTCATTTGTCTGCCTCTCTTCCTCTGGATCGCCGTAATCCTCACATGGGGTATCTGTAATTTTCACTTCTGTTACACTTTGTTCCACATTTCCTGTCTCCATTTGTTGTTTGTCTCCAGATTCTGTGAATTCAGGTTGGGCTTGGTTTTCATATGTCTGTCTCTCTTCCTCTGGATCGCCGTAATCCTCACATGGGGTATCTGTAATTTTCACTTCTGTTACACTTTGTTCCACATTTCCTGTCTCCATTTGTTGTTTGTCTCCAGATTCTGTGAATTCAGGTTGGGCTTGGTTTTCATATGTCTGTCTCTCTTCCTCTGGATTGCCGTAATCCTCACATGGGATATCTGTAATTTTCACTTCTGTTACACTTTGTTCCACATTTCCTGTCTCCATTTGTTGTTTGTCTCCAGATTCTGTGAATTCAGGTTGGGCTTGGTCTTCATTTGTCTGCCTCACTTCCTCTGGATCGCCGTAATCCTCACATGGGGTATCTGTAATTTTCACTTCTGTTACACTTTGTTCCACATTTCCTGTCTCCATTTGTTGTTTGTCTCCAGATTCTGTGAATTCAGGTTGGGCTTGGTTTTCATATGTCTGTCTCTCTTCCTCTGGATTGCCGTAATCCTCACATGGGGTATCTGTAATTTTCACTTCTGTTCCACTTTGTTCCACTTTTCCTGTCTCTATTTGTTGTTTGTCTCCAGATTCTGTGAATTCAGGTTGGGCTTGGTCTTCATTTGTCTGCCTCTCTTCCTCTGGATCGCCGTAATCCTCACATGGGGTATCTGTAATTTTCACTTCTGTTACACTTTGTTCCACATTTCCTGTCTCCATTTGTTGTTTGTCTCCAGATTCTGTGAATTCAGGTTGGGCTTGGTTTTCATATGTCTGTCTCTCTTCCTCTGGATTGCCGTAATCCTCACATGGGGTATCTGTAGATTTCACTTCTGTTACACTTTGTTCCACATTTCCTGTCTCCATTTGTTGTTTGTCTCCAGATTCTGTGAATTCAGGTTGGGCTTGGTTTTCATTTGTCTGTCTGTCTTCCTCTGAATCGCCGTAATCCTCACATGGGGTATCTGTAATTTTCACTTCTGTTACACTTTGTTCCACTTTTCCTGTCTCCTGTTCTCTTGCAGTCTCTAGCAGCACAAGCTCCGCTTGTTTTTGCAGCTCTTGTTGGACAGTAGAGTTTGGTTTGGCATTTTCATGTTGAATGTCTGATTCGGAAGTCTCGCCAGGACTTTCTCCGTTGGTTTCCTGGCATTCCCTGATCTGGAGTGCACTTTTCTCTGTGGTATAGTTTTCTTCCAGGTTCTCAGCTTGTGGAACCTCATCACAGTCTGCAAAAAGGTCCTCCATTTCTACATCTCCTCTGTCTTTATCTAGCTGGTCCATGTTAGACAAATGTTCCTCTTCTTCTTCTGTTACTGGCACATTATCAACGCTTGCCTCCAGCTGATCAAGGCTCCCCTGACCCACGAGTTCATGATTCTTCACGACCTGCATAGACAGAATCAAGGTCCAAATTATGATACACTTTTCCATCACATTATATTGGGGTGGGGCACTGATGATGTAGAAGCCTCAAAAACTCATTTATCCAATATAATACACTTGGAGTTATGGGGTTGAGATAAGACTCCCAGTCCTATAGTTTATGGGAAGACAGACATGACATAGTAAACACTTTCCTTGTGAGTTTATGGGCTTAGTCACTGATTTTGGAAGCATACTGAATAAAACATTACTACAACTATTTTGCAAATCATGTTTAAATTGCTTAAAAATGTTGGATTATCTTTTGTCTGCTTACTGCATAGAGATAGCAGTTTCACTGTCAGCCCCTCTCCTTCTCACCACATCTTATTCTTTGAAATAGAAGTGGGCGGTATAAACGGTATACGGTAGAAACTATATAAATTTGGCTAACGGTAGAGATTTTGACTATACCGCTCTACCGCGATAGCGTATGTTGATGGTGTCATCAAGCTGCGCCTGTTTTGGTTGAAAGCATTGCAGCGACTAAAAACAACATCATCTGCAATTTTTACTGAGCGACAGTAATAGCAAAGAGACAAAGCACTTTTGGAATATGGGGATAGTCAAAAACTCCACGCCTCCACTTCCGTCCCATTGATTCATTCAGTGGGGCAAAAAAGTATTTAGTCAGCCACCGATTGTGCAAGTTCCCCCACTTAAAATGATGACAGAGGTCAGTAATTTGCACCAGAGGTACACTTCAACTGTGAGAGACAGAATGTGAAAAAAAAAAAATCCATGAATTCACATGGTAGGATGTGTAAAGAATTTATTCGTAAATTAGGGTGGAAAATAAGTATTTGGTCACCTCAAACAAGGAAAATCTCTGGCTCTCACAGACCTGTAACGTCTTCTGTAAGAAGCTTTTTTGTCCCTGTTACGACCCGGCTCAAAAGCCGCAACATAAAAAAAAGGAGATGAATAACAGAGTGTGGGTGAGAAGAGGTTTCATCCTAAAATGGAAAACCAGGTTGGCTAAAATGGCTGGTGCCACCAAGGCAAAGACTAGTGCACTGCCGGAAAGCTTGCCTCAGGTATGCTTTTATCCACACCTGACTAGGTGTGGCCAATTAGCACCAGCTGAAAACACTGAGACGATTAAAAGCTGCAGAGGGACGTAACACCTCCTCCCTTAAAAGGGTTCCTCTAGGACCCTTAAATTTATTAAAAGCCCCTCTGAAGCCTTCAGTTCCTTGACCCACAAACCTGGAATAAAAGTTAAAGCTAACAGAAGCACAGTGTTCACGTTATAGTTGGCATCTCTAAGCATGGATGGGCATGAGGATTTGAAGTTGCCACACTGAACAGACAAAAAGTAACATGTGACCAACACAAAGGAGCACAACAGTCAAACCCAAAATTATTACCTGATCTGCTACAACACAAAACCAAAAGTAGCAACAAATAATCACAACTAAGTGATCTGTTGTCTCCACCACACAAACAGTCACATACAAGTGGCCCTATACCACAACAAGTTACTTTAATCCAAGAAGTTCAGTAAATCAAGCACACTAGTGACCAACCACAAAATGGAGAGCTATGGCCACACAATGATCACATCAAGGGTGGCTCAGCACCCCACAGTGTTATTGCCATCACCTGGCCAACAACACTCACAAGTGATCCAACAAAATAGCCATATTCCCCACAACACTAAAGGTCACAGCACAAAACACTCACCTCACAAGGATCTCATTAGCATTCATCCACACTGACATATGCACACACAGGGTGTGCACACAATGCCAACTTAAAAACAGCCTACCTGCCTCAGCTACAGACCATAATCAAGAATGGTCTCAAACCTCCTACCAAGTTTGGTGCCACTGATTTACTATGTGCAACTCCCAGCCTAAAACACTAAAAACAACAAAACCCTAACTTTACCTACCCTAGTCTTCAGTGGTGTACCAGGCTCGAGGCAACTTTAAACGCGAGCTCGAGAGCAGGCAGCAGACCAGAAATATAGTCTCCTACCAAACTCTGAAGCGTACCCCCATCCAGGATAGCCACCAAACACAATAAACTAAAACAATAAAGCAAAACAACAAACAAGTGCTTCGATGGAAGGGCAGCACAGCCACCCAGCTGAAACACACTTACTAAAGGGAGTTTGCACAATTACAGTGACCACCATCACTCACCCACTTAAAAGCAAAACAAACTGACATTCAGTCTCCACTAAAATGTCCAAATATCCCGGACGTGCCACCACTTATGTTACGACCCGGCTCAAAAGCCGCAACATAAAAAAAAGGAGATGAATAACAGAGTGTGGGTGAGAAGAGGTTTCATCCTAAAATGGAAAACCAGGTTGGCTAAAATGGCTGGTGCCACCAAGGCAAAGACTAGTGCACTGCCGGAAAGCTTGCCTCAGGTATGCTTTTATCCACACCTGACTAGGTGTGGCCAATTAGCACCAGCTGAAAACACTGAGACGATTAAAAGCTGCAGAGGGACGTAACAGTCCCCCACTCGTTACCTGCATGAATGGCACCTGTTTGAACTCATCATCTGTATAAAAGACACCTGTCCACAGCCTCAAACAGTCAGACTCCAAACTCCGCCATGGCCAAGACCAAAGAGCTTTCGAAGGACACCAGGAAAAGTATTGTAGACCTGCACCAGACTGGGAAGAGTGAATCTACAATAGGCAAGCAGCTTAGTGTGAAAAAAATCAACTGTGGGAGCAATCATCAGAAAATGGAAGACATACAAGACCACTGATAATCTCCCTCGATCTGGGGCTCCACGCAAGATCTCATCCCGTGGGGTCAAAATGATCATGAGAACGGTGAGCAAAGATCCCAGAACCACACGGGGGGACCTGGTGAATGACCTGCAGAGAGCTGGGACCAAAGTAACAAAGGTCACCATCAGTAACACACTACAACGGCAGGGAATCAAATCCCGCAGTGCCAGACGTGTTCCGCTGCTGAAGCCAGTGCATGTCCAGGCCCGTCTGAAGTTTGCCAGAGAGCACATGGATGATACAGCAGAGGATTGGGAGAATGTCATGTGGTCAGATGAAACCAAAGTAGAACTTTTTGGTATAAACTCAACTTGTCGTGTTTGGGGGAAGAAGAATATTGAGTTGCATCCCAAGAACACCATACCTACTGTGAAGCATGGGGGTGGAAACATCATGCTATGGGGCTGTTTTTCTGCCAAGGGGACAGGACGACTGATCCGTGTTAAGGACAGAATGAATGGGGCCATGTATCGTGAGATTTTGAGCCAAAACCTCCTTCCATCAGTGAGAACTTTGAAGATGAAACGAGGCTGGGTCTTCCAACATGACAATGATCCAAAACACACCGCCCGGGCAACAAAGGAGTGGCTCCGTAAGAAGCATTTGAAAGTCCTGGAGTGGCCTAGCCAGTCTCCAGACCTCAACCCCATAGAAAATCTGTGGCGGGAGTTGAAAGTCCGTGTTGCTCGGCGACAGCCCCAAGACATCACTGCTCTCGAGAAGATCTACATGGAGGAATGGGCCAAAATACCAGCTACTGTGTGTGCAAACCTGGTAAAGACCTATAGTAAACGTTTGACCTCTGTTATTGCCAACAAAGGTTATGTTACAAAGTATTGAGTTGTATTTTTGTTATTGACCAAATACTTATTTTCCACCCTGATTTACGAATAAATTCTTTACAAATCCTACCATGTGGATTCATGGATTTTTTTTTTTTCACATTCTGTCTCTCACAGTTGAAGTGTACCTCTGGTGCAAATTACTGACCTCTGTCATCATTTTAGGTGGGGGAACTTGCACAATCGGTGGCTGACTAAATACTTTTTTGCCCCACTGTTAATGCTGAATTCTCTCGCAGCTGCTATATTCCCATGTTGTTGCAGTATATTAATGACTAACCTCGTATTGTGGATGGATTATCTCAGTTGTTCTCCTGACTGAAGTTTGGTCCGTTTACAGCATCCTGCCATGCAATTGCATTTGTCCCTAACCACTAGAAACCCTCACGTTAAAAAGTTGGCATTCATCCTTCAGCTTCACTGTGCTAATGTTATGCTAACGTAGCTGTGTCGCTAGCAATCACGTAGGACATCATTATATACCAGCTAGCCCAACTTCAGTAACCTTACAAATGTCATTGTTGTTTAGTTTTCTGTCTTCATTTATGTTGGAAGTGATAGCAGAGCTGTACATTTAAATTTTTTCAGAAATCTCTCAGTCAGAACATGCTATATGATGTTTAGGTGGAAGCTAGCGAGCAAATTTCCTGCTAACTTCTAACTCCATTCAATTTAATAGATTCTGTTTTCATGGATGCCTGGATGTTAAACTTAATTGTTACACCTGGTAGAGCAGAAACGCTGATCATTTTATTAAAGATGAAAGAATTGCGATAGTTTGTAACTCTCAGTGACGCTGCAGTGTTTGACTTTGGGACCTGAAGTGGACGGAGTTTTGGATTACTCCGCAAGGCTCCTGACTACGGCAGCCGTAATGCTCCGGCAATCCATCAAGCGGTGCGCTTTCATAGCTCTCCAAAGTCGTACTAAAACATTTTTTGATTTCTACGCACCGTGTAACACAAAATCGGTTTGAGGTCAGTAAGCACAACCAGAATTCATACATAAGGCACACTGTCGATTTTTGAGAAAATTAAAGGATTTTAAGTGTGCCTTATAGTGTGTAAAATACGTTATACAGAAGAAAAGAATATATCCTGATATATATCGTTACCGCACATGCTTCAAATTATACCGTGATATGGATTTTAGGCCATATCGCCCAGCCCTACTTTGAAACTAAGATGGTTGTGGTGAAAATGCTAATCTTGGGGCATCAAAACACAATTTCAGAAACCAACGGATCGTGTCACAGTAGTTGTCCATGTCCATCTTTGACATTACTTATGGTTTAATCCCTGTAAATGTAGCACTTTTTAATAGCCAAGGAATTGGGGTAGGATATGCACTGCATCACTCCATTAGGTGCAACCTTAATCAATATTAAACCGATTTGTGGCAAAGTTTTTGGACTACAAAAACATTTAGACTAAAGGAATCAAATGGCCCAGTGCCAATGTCTCTGTAGCCAATGTGATATGTGAATAAAACCATTCTTTTGCAAAAGTAAGTCCACTGTCTATATGTAGCTTGTGAAAGTGATGCAGTGCTACTAAGCAAGATGCATGGTTGACATTTAAAAATGTCAGTCTGATGAATTCTTTATGTTAATTTATATATCTATTCATATTTTTAGGATGTATGCTCCCACTCTCTTTCGTTGGCTACTCCCTTCAAATACCAGACATGTTGACATCTGACATCTAATTGCTGTTTACATTTTTTATAGGCTTAAATAACTTAATTCTTCATTCAACTTCATTTTCTCTTGATTTTCTAGATCTTCATGGTTATGACAGCAGTGTGTAGAACAAAAGCACCGTCCGCCCATCAGTTAAAGAGAATACCTTTTTTGACCCAAAGATGATGCCTTGATGGCAACGTGACAGTTTGGGGCGACGAACCTCTATTGGCACTACACGTTCCCCTGTAAAGAAAAAAAAAAGGAAAAAAGGGAATGCTTATGTGACAGCGTCAGGTATCGGAAAGCAGAACACGTTCCTACAAATCCTGCAAATGCTCCAACATACCACGATGCAAGACAATGTGATCAATCATGTTGTTCTTGTTCTTAGTTTGGTACAGACAGAAAGGGCAGCAGAGGTCCTTCTGATGAGTAGGCTTTGACTGGCAGGTAGAGTGACCCGTCTCCATGTGCATTTCCAGAGTTTTCCTAATGACAACAGGAGAAATCAGTGATAACATTGCAAATCTGTCGGTGTTTGGTGACAACTCGTGTTGAGTAATGAGTAGAAATGACAAATTCAAGATGTCTGTCAAGTCAAATACCTCATAAAACTCATCCAAGTTATTCCCATACATTTAAAATAATTGACAACAATGTCTAAATTTGAATAAAAGAAGCTTCTTCTTCAAAAAGGGTCCAAACAGCAGATAGCGCGGCATGTTTGATTTAGCACACTTTTATGCCAGGTTCTCTTCCCGATGCCACCCCAAAGGGATTTGTGTCTCCTCCTTGAGGCAAACCAGGAATGCATTATGTCACCTGACTATAGAAACTAGTCAGATCCTGCGCATGTGTGATGATGCAGAATTAAAAGTATCAATTATTACTCATCCTGAATGCAAATGCGAGAATAAATGCAACATTTAAAACAAATGTGAAAACGAATATTTACTAGGGCTGCTCGATTATGGCAAAAATTATAATCACAATTATTTTCACTGAAATTGAGATCTCGATTATTTGACGATATTTATTTAACAATAACAATGTATTGAATAATGACTTTAAAGATTGTCAAAAAATAATATAAAATAGTGTGCAAATACTGATAACAGTGCAAATGTTTGCAATATAAAAAATAAATGAAAAATGTAAACATCTATGTTTAGTGAACTTTGCAGTGTTGCTCTGTGGTGCAGCTACGACACTGTAGCAAAGTTTACACACTATGTCTACTTGATCCACGTCTGACTCCGCCAACCCATGTTTCCACACCACTGAAGTTTTTTTTTACCTCTCTTTTCAACCAACAGCAGTCACTCTCCTCTCCAAATAACTTCTGCTTAGCTTTCGGAGCTTCCCTCGGGTCCTCTTAATTGTTGTGACACGTGTTCGAAATGCAGAGAGGTGCGCTCGATTTGCCACACGGAGCAGCGCGAGAGTAAAGCACGAGGGAGGGGCTAATAATCGGCTCAGTCATTTTTAATGATTGTTTAAAGCCCAGATCGTAATCGTGATTAAAATTCGATTAATTGAGCAGCCCTAATATTTACATAAAAAAATATATATATATATTTTTTTTAAATCTTGAGATAAAGAAGCTTTTCTGCAAAGGTTTTCCAATACCCAGATAGGCACTGTACTTTTTCAGACTAAACAAGACCAACTGTTAAAATTTCCATTTGGCTATGTTACTTTTTAAGTGAGCCCACAAGAAGAAGAAGAAGAAAAAAGCGTGGCAAAATGGGGTGACTGCTTTAATATATGAGTCTAAATTTAGCCATTATTACTTTTTTTTTAGTTTAGTTTTTAACAATAAAAAAAGCCCAAAGTTCTTACTTGTGTTTTAATCCAGATGTGGAGCTATTGTCCAGTTTCTTGATGGCTGCGTGGCTGTGCTCATGGGAATGCAAGCCTTTCAATGACATAAACATCCGGCCGCACTGTCTACACGTGTGTTTGTCTCCATTCGATTCTAGTTCTGGCTGCTGTACATCAGAGAGTTCTGATGTAGCGGCGCTCTGTACTCGTGTCCCGTTCCAACGATTAACCTCGTTCACAGTTTCCAATGTGGTCATTTCATCTTGCCTGCAGGGCTGGGAAAAAAAAAAAAAAAAAAAATCACAGTAATGGTCAAATAACACGAGTAGATCAGAAGACAAAGAGCATAGACAGGAATTACAGCGTCAACTTACCTCGCTGGATTCTTGCTCTAGTGTTGTGCTAATAAGCGACTCCTTTCTCTGCGCAGCCTTGGCCTTCTTTAGCATCCTTGCTCTGTGGCGATCCATGTGATAACACAACTTTCTAATCCCATTTAATTGTGTGTTGCAGTGGTCACATTTGTAAACCCCTGTGGTTTTCATTGTCTTCGATCCTAGTGACAACACAGTAAAGTCCAATTTCCACTCTGAGCGGTGAAAAGTACTATAGTGGTCAATGAGCAGCTGCGACGACTTGAATGTTAATTCTGGACATTTCAAACATTTAACCTTTGTGCTGTTGCCTGATTTAAGTACGTTGCTGGGAGAGTTCCATTTACGCTTATTATATTTCTCAAGAAGTTTGTAAATACTGACTGCATCCAATTTGTGAGTATTTTTGTAGTGGCGCTGGAGGTATTGATATCGTCCTTTATAGGTGCACATCTGGCACTTGTACAACTGTTTGTTGCTGCTTTTTTCTGCTGTTATGCTAGACTTCAATGTCTTATGCAGACATTTTTGGAGCTGCTGTTCTGGTTTTTGTTCTTGTTCATATCTTTCAATTACAGCTTCCGGGTGTTTCAATCCACAGTGAGTGTGGAGACCCTTTTTGCTATTAAAATTTGCAGAGCAGTAAAGGCACTTGAACACTTTGGAGGACAATGAGCCGGGTCTGTCACTTTGGTCTTCCACCCGCCAGCTTGCGCTTGTTTTCTTGGAAAGTTTTGCACTCAAAGGATGAACCATTCGGTAATGGTGTGCCAGATCTGACAAAGATTTAGATTTAAAAGAGCATCTTTTGCAAGACAAACCAGCTCTATTTTGTCCGTATCTTTGGGATAGCAATCTGTTTTCAGTGCCATTGCCTCCACTCTGCTCTAGATCAGGCTTCTTCTTTTTACAATGGACCATTCCAGGACCGACATATAACTGAAAACTTACATACTCAACGCAGGGGACACGTCCTAGGTGGCGTTCCTCGTAGTGCTCATAAACTGCTGCAGCTTTTTCATGTCTGAAAACACAGAATTCACAATAATAGCCGGGCTCTAATGATCCTTGTCTAAAATAATATCTTAAAATATCTGTGACTGTACGCTTTACTTTGTGAATTTTCCTTAAATGCGTCTTCAGAGCATATATCACGTCAGTTTTGTATGCGCATGCGTAACAGTTCAGGGACCTCTTTCTGTGTGGGATTGTCACTGAGGGTGTTGCTGAAATGACCAAAGACTTTGAATGCTTCCTTGTTTTTTTCTTTTTCATTTTCAGCTTGAGGATTTCCTGAGCAGCTTCTTCATTTTGAGTGGATGTTAGAAGAGATTTCTGTGCCTGATTGTGGATCTTAGATGTATGCAGAAGGACTTCTGAAGTCTTCGCCTTAAATCCATGATGTATTCTGCTGTAATGGTGCATTACGTGATCCAAAGTACTATGCCTGTAGTTACAAAAGTGGCAAAAAAATGCTTTTTCTTCACCTTCATTTATTATAGGAGGAGGTAGACGGGAAGAAGAGGAATCCTTTGCATTTGCTTTCCTGATTTCATCATGGATTAAAGCTGTATATTCAAGAACACACTTAGTGCTGGAATTACACTTTCGATGAACCTTAGCCTGATGGTTAATTACTCCTTTTACAGACGGATTTCCAAAGTTGCATTTGTGGCAGTAAAACAAGTTTTCTGGACATGCGTAGGACTTGTTCTGTCTCTCTCCTGTTTCTGAGGCATCTGCTGTGTAATCCTCCTTATACAGATCTTCTTTTTCCCTACACATCTTCACTTGTTTACTAGTATTAAATTGGGAAGATGAAGGACTTTTTGACATCTTAGATTCACTCTGACGTTTCTGCATCTCAGCACTGTACCCTAGGACATCATCAGTACCTATTGGTGCATCCATAGAATGTTTTGCATAGTGATGACCAAGGATACTCTTAACCTTGGTACTTGTGTAACTGCAGAACTGGCAGTAAAATGTTTCATTTGGTAAACTGGATGAGGAAATGTCCAGTCCAGTAGTAATTTCATTACTGGATTTTGTTGGAAACTTCGAAGATTCCCCTTTCGTGGTTTGGGAAGATTCTGAACGATTCTTACAGGCTTCTGGTGTGGTCTCTGAATGATCTACTACAATCACAGAATCTGAACACTTCTCAGATGTCATCTCTGATGCTGCATGTGATGTGGGACAAGCGGACTGTTTGATTTTATCTAATGTGATTACTTCATCTGGGTGGCTTTTTTGGTAGTGAACATCTAGACTCAGCTGAGACGATTCCTCTTGGCATTCAGACATTGAATATCTGCAGAACAATAAGGAATTCTCCACTTCATATGTTGCATGCTTTGCCTTGTAATGTTCTTTCAAAGACTTCAATAGATTGATAGTAAATTTACAAAGAAAGCATTTGAAAACCAAACTGAGGCCACATGATTTCATGGCAAATACATCTGGGGCATCTGGATGATTTTCCAAGTAGTGCCTCTTGAGGTCAGCTGTGCTTAAAAACTCAACTGGACACTCCAAGCAACGAAAGGTGGCACTGTGATCACTTGCGTCCTGAATGTAGACAGAATTGTATCTGATATAAGGGTGGTCACTTTGATAATGGGCAGAAATTCGCCTGATGCCCACGTCGCTGTAGTCACAATGTTTACAAGAATACACTTTTGCCGCGTCTGCCTCGTCTTCATCTTCGCTGACTTCACTGCTGGATGACTGTTGTCTATTTTCATTTTCCGTGAGCATCTCTTCGTTATCCAACTTGGCTTTTTTGACAGGATGACCTTTTAAACTTTTACCACTGGATCTCTTCACAGCACTGTCAGGAACAGTTTCCTTTCTGAATTGTTCCGGAGTTTTAGTCAAATCAGTAGTCAAGTCAGTGTGCAAAAAAGGGTACGACTTACTTCCGGTGATATCTATCACAGACTTTGCTGTGACTTTAAACACACCACTACTGTTTGGACAGGAGCTTGAAGGAGATTCCTGCAAAATTTTCAGGTCCTTTAATGTGCAGTTTGCTTCTGAGGTAGAAATATCTGAAAGAACTGATGGATCTTCCGATGTTCCTGCAGCTTCATTGTTCTGGTTTGCTGAAATGACACTTAAAGTGCTGTCGAGGTTTTCTGAAATGATGACACCTCCTGACACGTTAGGATTTTCTGAAGTTTTGTGACACAGTTCCTCGTGTTCACTTAAACCATCCCAACTACAAGCTTTAAAATCACACCTCTGGCATTTAAAATTATCTCCTGAACTGCTGCTCTCTGTGTTGGCTTTGTCAGTCCCAGGGGATAAACCAGCCTCTCTGAGAGAAATTTCTGTATTGAGGCCATGCACCTTGTAAAGGTGTTCAAAAAGGTACACCTTGGATTCGAAGATCAGCACACAGTGACTACAATGGAAAGCCTCGACTTGGGATTCTTCAGTGACTGCTTGGCTGATGACTTGCTTGATGTGGCCAGAGGTGGAGCACTCCACTGTATCTGAGGGGGCAGGCAACAGACCAGTATAGATCAGCATAGGTCAGTATCTATTCCCAAAGACGTTGCATACCTCTGTGATACATACCGTTTTCCATCTTGCATGCCTCTTTTAACCCACAGCCTTACACATTAAGTGACACACCTAGACAACTGAAAAAACAGATTATTATTTTTCTCAAGGCACAGAAGCAGCACAACATAATCCGACACTACTTCGTTACCCGTTATTAAGTTAAACGCACAAGTGAATACTTAAAAAAGAGAGCGAGAGAGCGAGATTGTACGCTTTGCTAATATTATCTTTAAATATGGCAGCACAAAGAACTCAACACCTCTATTTAACTTTCAGTGTAGCATATTCAACAGGAAGGAGACGTAAAACGAGTCAACCGAATAAACAGATCCTACCTATTTTAACAAAATGCCGAAATGTGCAACTCGCTAAAGTGCGCGATGCACGCAAGGTTTTTACTCACGCATGCACACAAAAACAGGACAAGGCTTAGGAGGCACCGTTTTGAACCGCTGCTGGAAGTCGCGTGAACACGGAGCACGTTTCCGCCATTTTTCAAGCGTGTGTGACTCTCCCTGGCCTGTGCTTCCCCCACCGCAACAAAACATCTTCACTTCCGTAGAATTCACCAACCCTTCAAAATAAAACTACCTGAAAACTACCTCCGCTGTGTAAGTAATTAAAATATCAATTATAATGTTATTTACCAGCAGTTACACGAGATTCGATATAACGACAGGATATTTTGGTTTAATACGAACTAGGATTTCTTGATTGTATTTTTTTTAATTTTATCAATTTGATAAAAAAAAAATATGTGTTTGTTAATATTCACGAAAACGTATGGAGTTTTTTGTTGTTGTTTTTTTTACTTCCACGCTTAGTTCATTGTGAAATCTGGGGAAACAGTAACCGGAAGTACGTAGATTTCATACCTTAACGCCAAGCCCCCCTTTTAAAAGTCTTTTCTGTTTTTGTGATGGTGTTGTTTTCTGTTTCTATGGCTGGCGATATAGGTATTATAATGTCCAATGAAAGGTATTAACAAATCCTCCATACTGTAAGTGTTATATAGCACCGCATATTTAAATAAATGGGCGCTATTGTTATTAAAAACTTATAACAGAAATCCTTTTTTCAGGCTCGGTTTCTATCGCAGGCAGTTGGCCACGTGCTTGCGGTGACGATGCTTGCTGAGCTGCACAGGTCACAAAGAAAGCAAGAAAAGCTTTGTTTTACCAATATCACCTTGGTATCCCAGAGAAATTTTATACTGATGTTGCAGACTTTTGCAGAGGGTCTGGCTTTTACAACAAGATGAAAGCTAAAACATTCTAGGGGAAAATTAAAGGATCTAGATTTGTGTCACATATCACATCTTCACAGCAGTTTTTGCTCAATATGTTTCAAATTCACTCTTTATATGTTCATGATGCGCAAATCCTTTCGAGGCAGATATCCTGCTTTAAGCAGGAGGCCGTTTGTGTAAAAAAGGAACGACCATCTCTCAAACGAGAAGGGGCTTAAGAGTTTATCTTTCACGATCTTATAATGCGGTGAATGCAGCCATTCCTCATCTCACAATGAATAGTACTCATACTAAAAAGTACAAAATGAAAGCATGTTTTTCATTATCAACTGCACCACTTAACCAGCCACACTGCTCTGTTTCTATTCTCATTGTAGTCTTTGGGGCGATCGTGGCTCAAGAGTTGGGAGTTCGCCTTGTAATCGGAAGGTTGCCGACATACATCGCCGCTTTACGTCAACTCCGAAGCCCTTTGGAACAGGGCCCTGTGCAGCACTGTTCAGCAAGAGCAGTGAGGTTTCAGTTGTAATGCTGCTTACACTTGTCACATGTTTTTTGCATATGCAATAATGTTGCATATTCCACAGCCCTACCCTGTCTTGACAAGTAAATTTAAGAATCTGTTTAGAACTTATTTATTTTATTTCTCACTTTGAATTTTTTTTTTATTGAAACTAAGCTTCTGGCTGATTGGTGTTATTTTAGTCATTATGCAGCCGTATTGTTTGTAAAGTTGGTGAAGCCTGCAGTCGGCTGAAACTGAAGAAGTCACATAGATAAGTGATAAAATGTTTCTACTAAACGCTGGGTCCAGATGAACAGAAATAAATTTCTAGGATCCGATCAGTTTACACTGACTACTACTCCATGGTTGTTTTGTATGTTAACAAGAACAAAATAAGTGAAGTAGACTTACAGGGCTTGTTCAAAGAGGTTTTCAAACATATGGTTTTAACTAAAAAAGCATGGGTGCTTTTTCCTTAAAAAGTGCAAAAAAAGAAAGAAACAGGCAATTGTTAAGAACGCCTTAGGTGAAGCAGTGTTAGATAAACTAACAAAACACTGCTATTAAAAAAACTATTGGCATATAAAAGCTTCCATTAAGCTGAATATTATTTATATTATTGCATACATATGGTTGACAGAAAGTGACCTCTGTAGCTATTTCCCATTGAGGATTGCAAAAGAAACCACAAAAACGAATAAAACCAACTTACTGATTGTTTGTACATGTGCAGAGGAGGCAAAGTGGATATACTGGATAAAGAATGCTGAATATGGAGCTGCCATAATAAAAAATAAAAACTAGTTAGTGTGAGACCTGGTTTTTATTTAACCAGTAAGGAAATTGTGATGCACACTCCACACCAGTTGGAGGCGCTGGTCCTCCAACTTGTCTGTCAGTCTCAAAGAAGAGACGACCAATGACGACCCAGCAGGGAAGTATTGATGTGGTTGTCATCTGTCCAGTGTTTGGTCTTTTTAAAATCGGTATATTCTCTATTGTAACCTTCATTGTAAGCTTGCTTTGGCGTTATATCACACTAGAGTTAGCAAGTGTGTTGGTAGCATTCATTATATTTTCATTGATAGCTTAGCCTTGTTACTGTAACACCAGCTTGTCTCATGTAGGTGTGTGCAGTGTCTTACCTAAACAGCTAAAACAGTCAGGTTGTTTCAGCCAAAAGTTTCACACATCTCTGTTTCTGTTGTACCAAATGTATTTGTTTAACCTTCGTTTGCATGTGTCTTTCTGCTTCTGTGTGTGCAGGGGTGATCTTTATGAGTGCAGAGACACCATGTTCCCAGCCAAGCTAGCTTTGAGCACTCTGAAAAGGATCCACCATGGAGCTTGTTATCGATGTCTTTCTACCTGCTTCATCCAGAAGGAAGGGATACAGGCTGGAGATGGGCCCCCCTCAGACTCCCGTGTGTGGAAGAGAAAGCCTAAGAACCAATCTGCAGTCTGGTCATCAATAAGACTTCTTGAAACACAGCAAAACGGGAGAAGACGGTTCAGTTTATCAGCTGCTACTATAGTAGATTCAGCACCAGTACACGTCCAACCGTACCTCCGGCTGATGAGGCTGGACAAACCTATAGGTTTGTACTTATATGAACATCACATTGTTGGGTTGTCGTGTCTTCATTCGCTCACCCCAACCAGTCGCGACAGATAGCCGTCCCTCCCTGTTAAAAGGGAGTTTTTCCTTCCTACTGTGACAAAGCAAGCTCATGTGCTCAGGTTTAACTTCAGCAGGTCATTATGACCATGTCTACACATTCATTTTCTGCTATGCAATGATTTTTATCTGTGTCAGTTTAAAAGAAAAAAAATTGATATCTAGAATATTGCAGAATTTTGACTTTATTCCAAACATGCACTCTTTAAGCCCAGAACAATTTTTAGCAGCATTTTCACCATGTTAACAAAACAGAACAAAACAAGAAGCTATATAACATTAATACAGTCTTCAGAAAACAAATGGCTAAAATAAGCACGTCATCTTTGACCTTGTAGAGCTATTAACTGGCACTAACAGGGAAGCATCTTTGTAAGCATGTAGCCCTAACTCATGATGTAGATAATAATTGTTAAAATTGTTCTTTGAAAGAATCCTACCAAACTGTAAAACTCTTATGTAATTACTGTGTAAGACAATGAGTCTAAAATATCTTGCCCCTGCATTTTTTCAGTGTCACTGCACAGATGCATCTAAAACCAAACCACATTTAAAATGCCACCAGATTAATGTAGCTATTGGCTGCGCATTCATCTCTTTGTGGGCTTTGTTTCTGTTCTTATCTTACTTCCTTGTTTAATTCCCTTGAAATTCATTGCCTTTTAATCGTAGGGACATGGCTGCTGTACCTCCCCTGTACATGGAGCATTGCTCTGGCTGCTAACCCTGGATGCTTCCCAGATCTGGGCATGCTCACACTGTTTGGTACAGGTGCTCTTCTCATGAGAGGGGCCGGCTGCACCATCAATGACATGTGGGACAAAGACTTCGACAAAAAATAAATGAGATTTTCTTACAGCTGACTCCAAACAAAGAACAGGACATGTTTTTGCAATAAAGTAAATAAAACCTCCATTTCTAAGCAGACGTTAGACTTACCTGTGTCACTGTCACTGCTCAAAGTGTTTCTTTATTTTTCAGCTCTGATAAATTGAAAGTGTTCGTGTTTTTGCACAGGTGTCCCACACAGCCTCTCGACCAATCGCATCAGGAGAGATTTCTCGAATGCAGGCGCTGGTCTTCCTGGGAGGGCAGCTCTCGCTTGCACTTGGGGTTCTTTTGTGTCTCAACTATTACAGGTACTCAGAATCAATTTTATGTATGAACATTAATGACATTTTATTAGGAAAATATAAATAGAAGAATAGGAACAGGTATATAGGTTAGATTAAATCCTCCGAGTCATGAGAAAAAAAAATCAGTGCAACAGTTGAACTGGATCACAATATTACTACAGTGTGTTAATTTTCATAGTGTAACTAAAAGTAATTATTTATTCAGTTTAAACTGTGAGTACATGGTAGCTGTTCCTTTATATTTAAGAAATGCAGTTTAAGGATTGCAGTTTACTGATGTTTTTCTTTGAGGTGAACATGAGATTAATGTGTCCCGTGTTAAAGTAGGGACCTTGATTGACTATGACCTCGTGTTGTTTTGTCTTTCATAAATAGGATAAGGAGGATGACATCAAAGTAGGAGTCAAATCTACTGCACTGAGGTTCCAGGAGTAAACCAAACCCTGGCTGAGTGGCTTCGTTGTGGCCATGATGTCTGGACTGGTATTAGCTGGGGTCAATGCTGAACAGACTCTCCCTTACTATGCTGTACTCACCGGTGTAGCAATGCACCTGACAAACCAGGTGAGGATCATGGTCAACTTTAATACAACATTTAAATGAGAAACATGCACAGATTCATGTGTTTTAAGATTAGGTTTTCCATTGAAGTATATTTATTTTCTTCTCTTGTAGATTTACACATTAGACATCAACAAACCAGAAGACTGCTGGAAAAAGTTTGTTTCAAACAGAAACCTTGGACTGTTGTTGTTTTTAGGTATTGTTGTCGGGAATTTGTGGAAAGAATAAAGACAGACTCTGAAGAAATGAACAAGCCTTCATATAATTAGAGACGATGTTTTATTACATTTGTGTGTTTTGTTTTTTATGAGAAGCACTCTTTTAACAACTTATGTATTTTCAAAAATGCCAGCAAATCTAAATTGAAATTGCTGCAATAACTTTGACCACCAGGGAGCAGTATGATTCCTCCTACCTGATGAATGTACTGTACGCCAGTGGCCTCATTACTTTGTTTTGGTCCATAAAACACATAAATATCTGGGTCTTTGCGTGACATCCTTCATAAGTCACTGGTTGACATTGGTGCTCTTTGTTTTTATGCTGGCCAGGCAGCATTTACCCACTTTACCTGTGCTTATGTGTCAGAAACCACTTCCAGTTATTAATTATAGGACTTTGGTGAGAGTCGGCGTGTAGATCTGCAGACTTTACTGGTTCTTTTTAGTGCTTTTGCAACATGAGACTGCTCTCACCCATGATGTTTCAGTACTCTAAAACTTTTGAACAAATTTGAAAGAGAATTCATTTACGTCCAGTGAAAAACTAAGTACATCTTCCAATATAGAAGGTATGTTTAGTTGCAATAACTTAATCATTTTCTCTATGAGTTTATCAGTTCCTTACATTGTTGTAGAGGAATTTCGGCCCACTCTTCTTTAGTGTTGCTTCAGCTCGATATTTGCAGGCATTTGTTTATGCAAAAGTTTCTTAAGGTCCCACCACAGCAATTCAATCAGGTTGAGGACTGGACTTTAACCAGTCAATTGCAACACTTTGATGTGTTTCTTTTTTTAGCCATTCTGTTGTAGATTTGCAGGTGTGCTTGGGATCATTGTCCTGTTGTACAACCCACTTTTGGCAAAACTTTAGCTGTCACACAGATGGCCTCACATTTGACTCTAAAGTACTTCAGTATACAGAAGAGTTGAAGGTCGACTCAGTGAATATAAGGTGTCCAGGTCCTCGGCATCCTGTGTTTTGGTTTTTGCCAAACGTAGTTCTGTGCATTATGGCCATGTTGGGTTTTTTTTTTGGGTTTTTTTCTTGTGTGTCATTCAGTTGAAACTTGGCAAACCTAAACTGCTGCTTTCTTTTTAGAAAGAGATTTTTCTTCTGGCAAACAAGCCACAACTGTTCAGTCAAAATTGTACTGCCATGAGAGTCTGAGATGTAGCCCATATTACATCTGAATGCTCCGACCCAGAAACCGCTGAAACAACCGCTTTCATAGAGGTGATCACATTTGCTTTTGCTTTTGTTTTTTGATTAACAGCATGTGGCTGCTACTTACCCTCTTAATTCATATAGAAGAGGTAGGGGTGTAATTAGAGTTTTATAATTGCATCTGAAACGTAGAAAGTGTTATAATCTAAGCCCAGTTATATGTTATGTTCCTGAAGCCAAAGTCAACGTTCTTTTTGCTTTAATAATATATCTTTGTTTGACTACTGTTCTAGTGAATTGAGGTTTAAAACGATAAAGTGCAGGATTATATTAACAAGTGGAAAAAGACCTATGTATGTTTTGGATAAAAGTCTCAAACCAGACGAATTTCTAAATTCTACCGCTATAACAATGCAGGTAACAATCATTTGAGTGTTTATCCAGTTTACAAAAGTGTAGATTTTTCTCTGTGTCGGTGTAATATTTGGGAGAAGGTTCCTGTGAATATGATGGTCTGCTTTCACTGTTGCTGCCCAGGTGAAAAACCCCACAAAGTGTCCTAAATGTAAACCGTGCCACCACAGTGAAAAACCAAAGCACATGAGCAGTGGGAAGTGTTTGTGCCTTGCATAAACTAGTCTACGCAGCCATGAAGCTGTTGTGGCGTTCCAGCGACGAGCAAACTGTGACATGCATATCGATGCCTCAGTGGTCCAGAAGTCCCCATCGGATAGTCCGCTCCATTTGGAGAAATAGTCCCCAGATGAATCTTCCCAAAAGCCAAACCCTGCTGCGTTATTGAGGCATTCGCTGATCTTCCAGTGAGAGTAATACTGTATTCTTAAAACCAGTCCAAGACACCAGGTCGACAGGATGCCATAGAGGATGCCAGGGTTGAAATCATGGATAAGATGTTTCAGAAAAAAGACGAGATAAAATCTAACCCACTCTAGCATTAACACTTGCATCAGCTTTAGGAAAACTACACCAGGAGGACTGGGTGGCGAGGTGAGGTTGATCCCCTCCATTAGAGTAATGAATTGTCCATAGGAACCCAAAGGACCACCAAGCAGTGTGGTAAAATTGAGGATGTAGCTGATAAGAGGGAGAAGCGTGACACAAGTCTGCCTTTTGGATGGTGTCAGTACGACTTGTTTCTCCTGAAGGTCCAAAGACACAGAGGTGATTCTCTGGGTGAGCAGCATCAAAGTGGACACTGCCAAGAACAGTCTGAAAGTGAAAGAGATATTGCTGTGATTAAATAGGATATCTGTATACATATAATGTTTTTACTTTAGATGTAAAAACATTATGTCTAACTTAGGCTAAGAGTTCATCTATAATGGTGAAGAAATGGCCTCTGACATTCATATCAGAGTCTTTTTAGTACATTAGCTGTTCTAGAGCTGTGATCACACAAAGTTGATTCTTGGAAACGGCATCTGAAAGGTTAGGCAACAACATAACAATTCTTGGAAACGAAACAAAGTCAACAGGCTGCTAAAACCACGTGATGTGGTTGAATGCTTCAAGCAACAGAGATTGTTTTATTGAAAAACACATGGTCGCTTTGAGTTTGACATATTTCACAAAAGTGTGATTAGGAACATTTTTGCCACTGTGTTTACAACCCTGTACGCGTTTGAAAACTGAAGGGACTGTGCTGTGTTCTAATCCTATCAAAGATCAGAACATAGCTTATATAATTGAAAGAGCAAGATAAATTGCTCAGGAGTTTCACCTCATCTCCCAACCGTTGTGGCAGACATCTGTCCCTCCCTGGAGGCTTCTTCCTGTTAAAAGGGAGGGTTACCTTCCCACCATCACCAAGTGCTTTGCCCATAGGGTATCATCTGATTGTTGTGGTTTTCTCTCTAATACTGTAGGGTCATTGCCTTACAACTTAAAGACCTCACTTTTGTGATTTGGTACTAAATTCAAATGACGATTTTATGTTCTACATTGTTATATTTCTAATTTCATGATGCAAATGTGTTCTTTCTTATGTAAATATGATCTTTCTTAAAAAAGCCGTTGTCTCTGTTGTTCTAAACCTAGTAGATACTATTAAGCATTAGTGATACCTTTGAAGGTAATCGATGCCTGGATACCATCACGGATACTTGATTTTGAAATATGTGCTAAGCATGAACTGCACCTTCTTAAAGTATCCAAAAATGTACTGCTCTGGTCACAGGTCCTCATTCTTTTTAAAGGTGCCAACTTTCTGTAACTTGTTATAGAAGAGAGAGGGGTTTTAAATATTTTTTTAAAATAAATACCATAGAGATACCATACAAATCACTGCATGCTGCATTATTTATATTTTATACAACATCCTAACTCTGAACAGGCTTGATTCATACATCTGTACACCCTAGAGAATATTCACTTACGAAAGGTTCGGAGGATATAGCATGAAAACTGTCCCATATGTTTATGTAATTTGTAATGGCAGAGTGAAATCAAGATTAATACCTGATGCTGACTCGTTCGTGCAGGTAGTATTCCCTGTACTGTATAAGTAGGTGCCAGAAGGTTTGCCACAACATCTGCATAACAAATGCCCAGGTGTGGATACAGCTGTGATCCACACAGCACACGAGTAGAACAAAGGCAAGTGTGGAGGTGAACAGGAGGGTGCTGTAGATGCCCATCGTGAAGACTGCCAGGACACTACCTCCAGCAGAAACAAACAGGTACCTATAGAGGGGAAATCATGCTGAAGGTTCTCAGTCATCCAGGTCATTGTAGTCTAAGGAGCTTTAAGTTGTTTGAATACGTTTCACCTCTCATCTGAGAAACTTATTCATTTTTAGAGTCAAATGGTGGAGCTTCCCAGATTTAAACCCTAATCTGCCTAATCACATGAAGCCAAGATGTGAAAACGGGTGTGGGTCACAATCAGCCAAAGTTTTTGACCTCAGGAAAGGGTGGGGCTACATTTTACAATGAGCTCACCTGAAACTTTGGCTGATTGTGCAAAGGATCATAAGGGGTCCATTGTCCCTCTTGGGGGGGACACTCCCACAGGGCTTAAATATGGTACTCCACCATTTGAACCGAGAACTGAAGAAGCTTCTCGGATGAAACATCCTCAAGCAACTTAAAGAAGTTCAGACACTTTTCTTTACAAGTTCCTTAGACCATCCTGAATACTAAAACTACAATGATTGGCCAGTTAATCAGTGTTTTTTTTGTTTTTTTTTGTTTAGTAAATACCAAATAATTTATTTCAGGTGGCAGCTTCTCTAGTTTGATGATACAGTTTTTCTTTTGACATGCAATGTATCACTATAAGCTAAATTTCTTTCAGCTGATGATGTCAAAAATTTAATGTCCTTTTGTAACATTTTCTCACCTTAAACCAAAAACATAACAAATAAAATGGCTAAAGAGTAAGATTTGTGTGTATGAGTGTATATATCTATATATATAGATAGACACACACACACACACACTGATTCATATAGTTAAAAAAAACACCAAATGATATGTTTACTCAAATATGTGATCCATTTGATAGTATTTACAATCCAGATGTTACAGTGTTTGTATATGTAAACCCGGATAAGTTCAATACACTTAAATCATTTGAGGAAACCGATTCCCTTCAAATGATTTGAGTAATCAACCCAAAACAAAAAATTTACTGATTTAGTCAAGTAAACTTAAAAGTAAAATTGTCACAATTTACTATATTGAGTCATCGCTACCTAAAGTGTTTAAGTATTCAATATTTCAAAAATAATTTGTTTAAGTACAGTTAACTTAATATTAATAGAAAAAACTAAATTGTTTAAGTGGTGCTAATATTACAAAACTCACTTTTTTGCGTAGTGTTTAATTAAAAGCGTCTTTTAATTAAATGTATTATTATTACTAAAACTTAATATGTCAAGGCAAACACACTCAAAACCAAAGACCACTAAAGTGTTTTTTGTTTTTGTTTTCTACTTTATTTATAACAAAACAAGACTTTTGTTTTCCTTTGAACAGTATTCCAATTTTTACACATGGCGCTTCTTAGAAGACATTTCTTTCAGAAACAAACACAATATTTCAGTTGTTCCGAGCCACTTTTTGACAAGAATTTATTTGTGGTCTCTGAGGTAGTTTTTTTTGAACAGTAAGTTTTTTGTTTGCACAATTGGACTTCCAATAAAACATTTTCTTTAAAACAATCCTTTTAAACAGATAAAACTGTGTATCACAAGTAAAGAACTTTGGTGCGACACTCTGGGTAACAAGTTGTAACAGTAAAACTTGTTTTCACAAATATTTTGACTTGGAAAAATAAAAACTATGGAATAAGGAATGGCCCCAGCGAGACAATGAAATTAAAGGAATAGTTCACTGATTTTACATAATAAGATATGTTCTTACCTTAGCTTTGACGAGTTGATGTGTACCAGTCTTGTCTTTATGCGTGCCCTCAGTCATGCAAATGGAGCAAAGCCTCTCCCATATATTCCAAATACCTCCACTTTTTGCTCCTTTTCGAAGCTACCAAGCTCCCCCATGTTTTCCCTATTTATGTAAAATTACATGAAAAGTGACACTCTCCAAGTTTAGTTTAACTAAATTTAACGTGTGGATTTTCTAAGCCGATAAGAAGGGGTACTATATTACAAGGTGTAATAACACTGTAGGAGCACTTCTTCATCCCCCCAGTAACTCAGTCTATGCTCCAGAGTGCACTAGGGTTACTGCGCGCTTGTAATATAGTGCCCCTTTTTATCGGCTTAAAAAATCTATACATTAAATTTAGTGAATCTAAACTTAGATAGTGTAACTTTTCATGTAATTTTACATAAATAGGGAAAATGTGGAGGAGCTCGGTAGCTTCTAAAAGGAGCAAAAAGTGGAGGTAGTTGGAATATATGGGAGAGCCTTTCTCTCGCACAAAGACAAGACAGGTATGCATCAACTCTTCAAAGCTAAGGTAAGAACATATCTCAGTATGTAAAATCAGTGAACTACTCCTTTAAGCCCTGGTTTTGCCATCCACTAAAAACAAAAGAAGACAATTACAAACACAATAATGACTTCCTGAACTTGAGAAAAAGCTGCTCAATGAAGAGTGAACATTCAATGTATCTATGCACACATTGAAAGCTCATTTTTTAGCCTTTGGAGTTTTGGAGGAGGATCGTTTCATCCCAGATTCAGCATAATCTGCTGGATAAACAGGAATGTATTCTTCATGCACTTTGGGTACTCCAAGTGGAGTGCATAAGTCAGTCCAAACAGGAGACACATTGCCAAAGGAAGACTGCAGATGGAATCCATTACCACATTGCCCTCTAGAAGGATCCCCAGCTGGCAGGGGTTCAGTTCTTGCTCTGGACTTCCGTTTTCACCATTGAAGATGATTCCTATTGGGATTTCAAGGTCACCATCAGCAGCATTCTACAGAGGGGGGAGGGGGGGGGGGGGGGGGGGGGGACTGTGAGTTAACCTGTTGGTGGAGAGTAACACAAGTATAAAAGGTCAAAGTATTGTATTTCTATAAATGTTGTTTATTATTTAAGTACAAGTTAATTGTTCAAATAAAATAAAATAAAAACAGGAAAATGTGGGGAATCTGTAAGGCTTATTGTCATTATACAACTGTATAATGAAGTTTGTCCTCTGCATTTGACCCATTCTTCAATGTTGATAAGGCAGCAACCCGTAAAGAGAATGGCGCTGCAGCGGCGCACATGTTAATAAAGTAAACTTTACGAGAGGCCGTACAGGTGCAGAGGAGCGGTGTTCAGCCCCTCGAGCCTCAGCGAGGGGCTGAGTGTCAGAGCTCGGCTGTGCAGAGAATAATGACAGGTTTATTTGTCCGTGTGAACGGCTGGAGGTGCCCGGCCGTGCTCTGGTCCTCCTCCTCTGACCGGGGCCGGAGTCCGGACCCGGGCTAACCCTGAACACGGTTTGGATGTGCTCACATCACACAATGGAACCGCGCGGTTTGGATGGACGAGGAAGATGCTAGAACCATTACGCATGAGCAGGGGTTAAGGCTGTGAGGGTTACAGCCTTAAAACATTTATAATAAATACTTTTCACTACTTTGCGGATTTCACTTATTGCGGGTTGTTTTTGGGACGTAACTCCCCGCGGTAAACGAGGGTTCACTGTAGATTGAATTAGCGTGCACATTTGCGTAATGTAACATGCAACTATTTTTGCTTAAAGTTGAAATAAAAAGATTTAACTCACCAGTGTGCGTGGAGGTTTGAGGAAAAGTACTCCCTATCGACTGTAGACTGAAACAAACATGTCCAATCCCAGGCAAAACCACCAAAAACGACTTGTCTTAATTTTTCCTGACAAACAAGTCCAGACGTCTCTTCGGTTCCAGTGCCGGAAAAATATGGGAGGGGCAACAAAAACTTAAAAATAGTGAAAGTGCTTTCAACTAAACATGATCAGTAAACATCAAATTTACTTTTATTATTTGAGTGTTGAGTTTAAAACTTATTCTCTTATAAAAAATTGAACTTAAACTATTTATTAGAATAAACTTAAAATAGAAAGGACCATGTTAAATGTATTCATTTTAGTGCATCACATGCAAAACAATATAGGTTAAGTGCAAAAAGCTTCCACCAATGAGTTCTGTCTGACACAGTTATATGATTTTAGTTTTACAAAGAAAATTAATTACCATCAGTGATTATAGCTAAACCATTTGAATGCAAATAACTTTTGGGATTACAGTGTATTCCAGATCATTGTATGATGCAATCAATCAGTGGACTCATAGGCCATAATTATACTGTACATACCTGTATGTCAAGGATAGATGCCCCCGTTTTGCAAGAAAATAAAATAAGAAAGCAAATGGAAGTGAAAGACATTGATACATTAAAAAACGATGTTGCTCCCACGACCAGCCGATCGAGCCCATGTCTGCATTTCAGGCTGAATACCACAGTTGAACTCAGGCAAGCACAGTAGAGATTTGATGCTGCTGCTATCAAACGTAGGTAAAATATTTGTTTTATCTGTGGTTCCTATTGCAGTTTTATAGCGGTCATTTCTTTTGTCTGGCCTTATCAGTGCTGATTGTCTGTACAAACAGTACTGACATTTGTATGGTTTTGTAACTGTTTGTCTGAGAAAGCTTGTCCTTACATATTTCTGCAACTGTAGCAACCAAAAGAAAAAAGAAATGTCTTTTTATTTTGCAAATTAAACACTGACTGTTCATCCTTACTTTGTTTGGATAAGGTTTCTACTCTACCTTGACCTTCAGCAGTTTCTATAGGCTTGAATCAAATATACTTTTTATATAAACTCATATACTCCTGTATATGAAAGATAAAAATGAGGTGTGGTGGTGTATTTGTGTGACGGTGTAGAAAACACGAATGAGTTTAAACAAAGCAGGAGGCTAAAAGGTTAAAGATAAAATGAGGGGTCAAACACAGTCACGTGTCAACAGCAAACTTTTGGAATTTACTCTAAAATAAACATCCAGCGAAGAAGAAACTCTGAAGGTCAAGAGATTTGTCATTATGAGATTTCCTCAATTGACAATAGATTGACAATATTATTTTTTTATTAGTTTCTAATCATTTCTAAGCTGAGCTTCGGTTGTAACCAAAGAAAATGTGACTTTTAATACTTTTTTAATGTTTCTGTGGCTTCAGGGTTATTGTTGTTACAGTCAGAACCAGTTTGTTTCAGAAAAATAAGAATATATTATATAAAATATAAAACATATATGGAGTGCTGTAGAGATGTGGAAATTTCTATGGGGTAAATGAGTGAGAATGGATTCAGTCATAGAGGAGTAAAAGTACACCACTTCTGACGTATGCAGGTTGAATTTCTCCAGTAGCTACAGGACATGGATCCTCCGATGTGTGGGGTTTTTTTTGTTGCCTTTTTTTTGGACAGACATTTAGCTTCCACTTTAAGTCGTGGGAGAAAGACTCGTCAATGTCCACTGGGCAGGCAGGATGATGGGGCAGGGTTCCTCCTGAAGTCCAAAATCATCTCCACTGTTTTGACAGCAGCATCCAGGCTGTTGCCTCCCCACCGTGTTGCCAAATTGGCAATTTCAGCCCAAAGGATAAACATCTGAGATGAGCTCAATGAGAATTCGTATTAAAGTTTGACATTGGTGACTGAACACATTTTTCCTACCAACTGATCCTCTTGAAGAACTCGCTCCTAATTCAACAGTCGGAATCTGCATCATTCAAGATCTTGTATTTGTCACGTGCATACTAGTACACAAGTATAACACTCAGTGAAATGTGTCCTGATACGCTCCTCGACTGTGCAAAAATAGAGAGAAAAAACATTATATACAGTAAGTAAGTAAATATATACAAAGAGGCCATTGTGTGCAGTAAGTGAGTGAATTATATACATTAAGTACATTAAATAAAATAAAACAATCTGTTCAAAATTTGGGAATGTACATTGTGTAAGTGGGGTCAAAACTAATCTGGGATTCCCTTAACTATCATAACTTCCATAGTATATTAGCAGTTCCATTTAATATCATTTAACTTTACTGTTGATTGTTTTTGCAACAGAGAGAGAGAGAGAAAAAATTACAAAGACCAGTCAGGAAAAGAAAAGAGTAGAAAATTATGCCATGAATTGTAATGTTACACCAAAGAGCACATCCTTCTCCTGTGAGCATCATTTTAAGTATATGAACAGATTCCTTTTTGCTTCAGGTATCAGAGAGACAGATCTGTGACCTGTAATGTCATCTCAGTGAGTCTATCTGATGATAAAGACAAAACAAACAAAAAAACAATTAGTCCCATGAGTAAGACCCACACTATGCAAATATTGCTTCAGTGACACTATTGTTGAGTGTTTGTCCTCACAAGCATCAGAGAGAGGAGACCAGAAAGCATTTTCACTTGTGAGGTTTGGTGTTTGGTTTCTAAGGGGTTGCATTATTAACAGGATGATGCATCATTAAAGAGCTCCCGCAGTAAGCATTTCAATGATTATGAGGCTCACTATTACACAACACAGGTCATGTGGATCACAATGACTTAGATATAATAAATATAGCATTGGTTTGTTACTATTGATGTTTTTTTTTAATCATTGGCTCTGTAGTGGTATTTCATATGGTACAAATGTCTCAAATGTTCAAGGTGAGGTGACCTTTAGACATCTAGAAATTTTTTAATTAAACTGCTACTTGTCCTGGCAGACATCCTCCCCTTTCTTTTCCTCAGTCAAGTCGGTCCTGTATCTAACAAGTGAAAATAAAAAATAAAATAAACAATAAAAGATGAATCAAATAGATCATTACGGCAAGGCTGGGATGGTCCATTTGGTAAAGTAAATCCGTTGGGCATCTTTCTTCGCCTTTAGACAATAATTCTAAAAGAACCAAACGGGACAGGCAAAAAAAAAAAATAAAATAAAATAAAAATAGATTTCTGGTGTTTGGTAGTAACTGCTGTTGTGAGTTGGTGCTTTTATTCAGTGACTCATATTAAGCTGGGATGATATTCATACTACTAGTTAAGGTACAAAAAAGAAACAGTAATTTAGAGTTCAGGGTTAGGGTTGGGGAGTTTAGCAGTGCAGCTGTCAGGACTGTTGCCTCGAGGCAAGAAGGCTTGAAACTGAATTTAACAAGTTCCCTTTCAGAATTGGCTGTAGTTGTGGGTGTGAGACTTTGTGCCTGTCTGGTATTTGGTGGGAGTTTTTATGGCGTGTGATATCCCTGTGATATCCTGCCAACCTGCGTAGACTGAACCTGCATCTTTCTTAGAAAGGGCTGGCACAAGCTCACATATAAACTGCTCAGCATTAATAAACTATGATTCACCATCAAGTTGCTACTTGATGAAAGCTAATACATCCTGTGACTATGAAACAGTGGTGTTTAATTCTTTTGAAATTTTAGAGGTCTAGAAAGTTATTTAGCAAAAATGCACAACTGATAACTGTTGTTATCGTTTTAAGATTATTCGATCAATTTTTAATCAGATGTTTGTAAATCTGAGTTTCTGCCAAATGTTTTTTCACTAGATCTTCACTGAGCCTTGTAGTGAAACTCAATTCAGTGGGAGCTTAGCAGCACATTAGCATAACACTAGAAACCTTGAAGGCATTGTTTCACCTTATATTTATATATTATTTAGATTAAGGAAAATGAAGGGGGGAGGGGGGATTTTACCTGGAAAGTTTACCCTGGAAAGCTAGTTTTTCTCAGATGCTTTCATCCACATCTACCTTCTACATCACCATGATGCTTGCCAAGTGTGTCTTAACTATTAACTTTTGTTTTCTTCTTTCCAACACCCATTTCCTTGTGCTGTAAAACTGTAACATGCAAACAGAATTAAACCAAAGGTCTCCTTATTTGTCCTTAACCTGTTATTAGAAAGACACATTTCAATGACACCTTTGTTTTAGTGCAGGCAGTATTGTACAAGTTAAATCACACACAGTCATGTGATAAACTTTTCCCCAAACTCTATGTAGTTTTGTGAGAAAGTAAACTCCATGATTCAGTAGCTTGTAGAACCACAGTTGACAACAATAACTTAAAGTTTATCTTTTCTTCTTTGCATGCTCTGCACTTTGGGTCTTGTGTGTCCAACAGACATTCTTCCATTAACATTAAACATGCTAACTGAGGCCTATAGAGTCTGAAATGTAGCTCTTGAGAAAGCACTGCATAGACTGATGTTGGGGTTAATTTGCTGGGGTGTCCACCATTGCATGTGTTTGGACTGTGGGAAGAAGCCCTAATACCAGTTGAAAACATGCCCAAGTGTGCAAGAAGGGCCCCAGAAGGCCAGTGGACTTGAACCCTGCCTTCTTGCTGTGAGGCACCACAATGCTTTTGACTTGTGAATTATATTTTTGAACGATTAACATATTTTCCACCCCTATTTTAAAATATGAAATTTGCAAATCAGAGATGGCAGTAACAGGTAAAACAAGTCTGAATGACTCACCAGGAAGTAGTGTGTGTGAGAGAAATAAGTAAACCGATCAGAGCTCAACTGAAGCTGTGGTTAGAAGAACAGCTATCGACTCTCTGCATCACTGACTGGACAGGCAGCAATCTATAATAACCACATGCAAGAACTCTTTACAGCACAGCAGAGAATAATCTGCTCTCTTATGTAGTTTATTTCATCCCTGCACAGTCACCAAAGGGTGTACAGATTATATTTCCCAGAGTCATCTACACAGAATAGAGCGACAGCGTTCACCACTGAGATAAGACCTGTGTGGTTTGGAAACTTACGTTCAAGATCTGAAACAGCTGCGGAGACACTTTAATATCATCTGACATTTGCTGTGAGTGTGTTTTAACTAATTTAATAAGCCAGTTTCTAATAATTTTATTTGACTTTACTGATTTTTTAAACTGTCTATCTTATAGACCCACTTTATTACAGTGTATTCACTTTTCCCATAGCTTTTCATTTCCTTTTATAAAGATTTTTCACTCAATTAGCTTATTGAGCTCCTTTAGTGTTTCTTTACCTGAAATATCTTTATTCTGTGTAATTTCTTTTAGTTACTTGTGTGTTTATTCTATTTATTGAGCTGTTGTGGATTAAGTTGTTTTATTACAGATTATTTTTATCTTTCTTTAAACAACGATTTATTGGCATGTTTTCATCTCACAGGTTGTGGCTTTGTTTGTGAAACTGGAAAACACAAATAACGTGTGTTTAAAGTTCAGGTGTAACCACTTGCACTCGCAGCACGTCCTGTTCCTAGTTTGTCTGTATTCTTGGCGGGTCGACTGATGAAATAATTCTGGATCCATACCCAACCTTATTATTCTTGCTAAATTGAAGATTATGGGCACGTGAAAAGTTGAGCAGCTGGTTAGCCGGGGCTCGTCACCGCGTCACGCAGCGTCTCCGCTCTGATTGGTCCGCTCTTGTGCAACTGTGCAGCCGTATAAACTCAGCAGTTTGAAGGAGTTGGCTGTATCTCCTGCGCCGGT